GGGTGCGTCCGCCCACCTTTGCCCTATTATCGTTCCGGCGTCCCTGCTAATTAGCATGCTATAAAACAAAATAATGCTCGTTTAGTTGGCATATATCCATATAAGATTAGGGGCTATTTTCACAAAAGTAAATAACACTATAAGCAATAACTATACATATATAGCTAGTAGGCAGTTTGCTGCGTCCCGATATATCGTTCACTTTCATTCCCCCATGTCTTGGAACTGAAATATATTTACGGGAACTAACACTTTCGAACACGCCGAGTTCAAATCCGAAAAGTTCCCGCTCCGTAGACCTGCAGTTTTCTCACAAACTGCAATGTTTGCAGGAGGAGAAATGTGTGCAGGAGCAGTTTATTTGGTGATTTCAACGATGTCGAAGCCCTCTTTCCAATAATAGTCGCTAATCGCACAGAATAACACCAACTGATATAATAATTCAAATGCAATGATAAGTTACCTCTTGAATTACGTCTCAAATTAAAACTGTGTTGGAAATTTAAATGCTGACCCATTGCATAACATTACCGTTTTACATCGTTGTATAAAACATTTTGATCGCATGTAAGGCATTATTTCTCAGCCCAGAGACATAGCCAAAAGACCTAGCATTAACGTCCTTGAAATTTTATAGAGATAGAGCCAGAACAGAGGATTTTAGAAAGCTTTATCTGTACCTTCCCACAGTTGTAGACAATTAGATATGTTGTTTACGTTCAACACGCATAATATAACATAACTCAAAATGATTCGAGCAAAACCAGTCTTTTGTTAAAAGGAACACTGGTTAATAGAAATTGGTCCTTTTGAGTGACATAATCGTTTGTCGTCATCGATCCGTGTCGTTGAATAATGAAAAATTAGTGAAGATAAAATTGCAGTTTATCCTAATAACCTCGTTTTCACCTTTTTGTTGTTCAACCCCATTCTGGATGGTGGATGTTTCTGGCAGCTTTGACGTTTTCTCCTGCATCTGAGTGTGATTGCGTGAAAGGCTAGTTGGATTTTTACACCCATGCCAATAATAAGGATATCATTACAAGGATTTTTAAAAGCTAGAGCACCAGAAAACTGGGGATGGATAATGATTCAGCTACCTGAAAAATACAAGTAAAACGTCGACGTTTCGTGCGAAGGCCTTTCGTCGGAAAGTTGCGAAGGCCCTTCCTATTTTCGAAAAGTGAAATCTAGGTATATAGTGTCTCCACTGCATGAAACAAGTATTTTTTCATAAAAAATCATTTCAGTAGTTAAAAAAGCAACGGACGCAAAGCTTTAAGTTATAGTTGCATATCAACTACGTTTATGTAAAAAGTATCAAAACAATACAAAAGCATTGCATTCATAAGGCATAATTTTTGTAATTTAATTTTAATTTGTAAGTTTTATTCTTTAAATGGTTAAATCGCATTTTATCCTTATTTATATTTAGACACAAATGTTTTTACTAAAATCTCTAAATTATTGTAGTACTGCAACGAATGGACGAGGAGATTCCAAATATATGCAGCAATAAACTTTTATTCAAAAGCTTATTGGAATTCTCAAGTTACATAACGCTTAAAATTAACTTCAAAAGTTAACGCATGCCTATAGCAAAAGCTGACGAACAGATTAGATTTTTCATGGATATCCTGTTTTCTCAGGTCAAATTTCTACGGATTGTTAAACACGATACTAAACGGGCTTCGTACAACGCAATTTTATCTTGCGGTTAATAACAAACGCCGAACATAGAATTTACCCGCTGGATAGGGGCTAAACACCGTTTGAGTTGAACATCTTCCGTACAAACGGCTCCAAAAAGAAATGAATTCCATGAAGAAGTTAAAGAAGCAGCGCTTCTCAAGGCTCTTTTGCTAA